AGTGCTCAGACTTAAAATCAAATTTATTTAGAGGGAAAAAAATGACTTTACAAGAGGTTGCTGCTAACTAGAAAGGAAGATAAATAAAAGCTTGTTACAAAACCTAATGGGTTCTGGCAAATTACAGAAAAACTGAAGAATTTTACAGACAATAACCTGCTCACTTTTTACATAATTACAAATTAACATACAGCAATTATTGTTTTACCCTCTTTTTTAAATTTTATTTTTGCAACGTTTTAACTTTTTTATTTTTATTTATTTTACAGATTCAACATGAAAAAAAATGCAAAGCATAAAAAAACCCAAGAACTGGATGCAGAGGTATAGAGTGTTATTATAATGCACATCCTCAACAGTCTGTGGATTGCTCTAGTGCATTCCATATTAGTACAAAATAAACACGAGGCTAAACTTTAACCACAGGCAAACTGAACTGGACATAGCTGTTCTGAGTCAGTGTTCATTATTAATAAAGAATAGAGTTAAAAATACATAAGAGTGTGAATGTGATCAATATTTATAGACTTTTAAAAATACATACAAAGGTTACTGCTGTATGCAAAGCAGCGAACTACATCCTTTCGTCCCTCCAGGCAACGGAAGCAGAATATTTTAGGGCAGAACTTCAATGTCAGTGAAGTGCATGTGCAGGGAAAAGGCAATGAGATCCTAAAAGAGATATTGATAGTGGTCTTCCGATTACTCAAGAGCATGAGAGGTCCAAGCCTAAACCAGTTCAGCTTGCCTATCTTTAAAACTTAGCTAGACCATTGGAGAGAGAACTAATCATGGATCGCTGCCCCTTCTGACAAATGAAATAAGAATTACGAGTACTTGGGGAGGATTTATTTCATAGGTTAACTTAAATTATTTTAAGTTTACAAACCTGGCCAGCAGGCAGAATAGTTTCCAGAGTTCTGGTTAACAAGGAATGTTATGGTAAGTTTAAAGGGGCAATCAAATCCTTTGTTGCCACCTCTGACCAGTCTTCCATGCCTAGCTATCCGGCTATCCCAGACAACTCCCATGAGATTTGGCACCCACTACACTCTCCCTAGCCTGTCTTCAAGGCTCTCTGGCATAGTGGACAGGATCAGTGAAAGCTTCAGGGTGTTTTAGGAACCCAAAGAAGGTGTGAAGATTACCAGACTCTACAAATACCCGTGAAAGAAAATATAAATCAGACCAATCTAAATTTAGACCTGTGGTCAGACTTCAAGAGCTATCTGTAGTGAAAAGCTCCAGCCATCTCAACTGAAAGCAAGTGCTCCCATCTTAGAGACACAGCCTATGAGGCCCCCGGAGGTACTATATGAATAAAGAGTTTAGTACACGCAAATAGCCTCATTGCACTTCACTCATTGGCTACATGCCTTACTCCGAGTTTCTTACTTTCTATCTCCTCTTTCTCTATCTAGTAAGACCTCAATGGAAGTGTTGCTCTTTACATAGCATTCTCCACCCTTGCTAGGGAGGTGATATTGATGCCAATGCCATGTCTCTGCTTTACCTGGGGGGAAGCCAATCCCTCCAACCCCTGCCTCAACCCACTAGCAGCATTGCTGCTTTTGATTTTCCTCCAGCGTCACGTGCAAGATGAGTCTTCCAAGCCGGGGAGTTGGGCTAGGTTTCCGAAGGGATTAACCAAAAGGCTGAGGAATAGATGAATCCCACAAGAAAAGAGAGGGTTCTCAACTCACTACCTTTGGAAGGGGACAGTGGTAAAATTCACACATTCTGAACTTTGGGCTAAACAAAATAACACGGAAAGCTTCTTTCCCACCACGGCTCCTACATCTCTTCAAAGCCGAAATTATGCAGACTTCACACTTAAATATTTTGTAACTTCTAACCTCCTTCCCAGACTGTATTAGGGATGGGGAGGGGAAGGAATTCGCCTGATTGTCTCAATATAACCAAAAAGCAACGAAGGAAGTGACAAGACAGACTCCATTTAAAGCGAAAATTATATATTGAGATGATCACTTCATGTAAAAGATGCTGACATCAAATCCCAGGCAATCCCTTCGATTCTAGGGACCGTTTGCTACAGCTGCAGTCTGATCACAGATTGCTGGTGTGACCAGAAGTTCCCTAATAGTGACCACCTGATATCTTTTATGCTGAAATTGCATCCTTCACTCTGCTATTCTCTGAAGCTCCTTCTACTGTGTAGTAACAGTTACCATGCCAAGCCTTGCCACAAGCCTAAGGGAGATCCGACACTCCCATCAATGACAAACTAGCAAAGGGAGCTCAAACTGCAGCTCCTTGCAAATGACTCTTTTCCAGTAAGGAATTCGTGCAGCCACTTCTGAACTGTGCAGCAGCACAACACATAGCAGGTGACTTTTGAGAGGCCTCATGCCTTAGAAGCCCAGTGGGAAATAAAGTGCACTCAACAAACATGAGTTAGATGCCAAGCATGGAAGTGGAACAACATAATTCATTAATGAAGGTCAGGAAAGGAAAAAAATAAAACATTGGTGCTGCTAAAACTGACCCACTTAACACTACACCTGGGACCATGCACTCATGCACTATCTGGGTAATGCTGGATAATCTGCAGGGATCAGAGTGGGAATCCATCTCCATGGACCAGTTCCAACTTTTCAAGGAAAACTTGAGCAAAATGGATAAAAAAACCCAACCTTCAGTTCCCTAAAAATGAAAGAAAATGGAGAAAAGAGGAGGGCGGGACTACAGTCTTTAATCGAATATAATCAAATCACGCAACAATTTGTATCCTCCAATGACAAAGGGTTTCTGTTCACCACAATACAAACACAAATAACTTTAACAACATGGGCAGCCATCCGCTTGGTGAAATCCAGACTGAGCTTACACAGTGCATTGAATGCCATTCTATTTACAAGAGGACTGGAGAGAGAGGCAATGCATCCCCACTGCCCTTGGGGGAGGTGCCTCTATTTAGGTGTGCTGTTTTGTAAGTTCAAGAAGTGCTGGCTTTGTGAAGAGGAGATGCATCACTGGGGCAGAAGAAAGCACTCACACGGGCAAACGCTCCTACAAACTAAATGGGATCCTTCAAAAATACCAGCCAGACAAGTTGTGTGTACAAATTGGTAACCATGCCATACACTGGATTGGGTTCCCACATTTCCTTTTAGCACATTCACTTTCACAAGCAGGCGAATATTAGGGCAGAGGTTCTTTAAATTAGCGGTGGCTGTTGTTTTCTCCTATTTCTAAAACTCACACTCCAGCCTTAGGGCATGAACCAACGCCCGCTGAAGCCAATGGAAAGACACCCATTGGTTTCCAACGGCAGCGAATCAGGCCCTTCCAACAAGAGCAATATTTGGCTTTTTACCTCGCCTCAAAGAGGTATGGGAATATATAACACAAACCTGTTTAAACAAGAAAACGGAGGGCCAGCAAGGTTCCATACAAAAACCACTGCCTCTCTTCCCAAATTTGTATCTGGCCTGGAGATACTTCGCCTTGAAAGCAGCTCTCCAGCCGGAATCACTTGTACCTAACCGCTCTTCAGGCAGGACACGGGCTGCTATGCAGCACTGAACATACCCTGGTTTTGTACTGTGCAATGACAAAATAAAACCATTGGGTTGATAGAGCTCATCTTTAAAAAAACAAAAGAAAAATAAAAAAATAAAACAAAATAAACTTTTTTCTAAACCAGATCTCTTTCAAATAAACAGAAAGATAAATATTTTTGCAAGCCCAGCTTGCAATTAAGAACAAGCACCAAATAATATTTAAAAAAACAAAACAAAAATATAACCTCAGAAAACATCTTACTTCTTTTGTTTTGTTTTTTGAGTACGAATTGTTCAGAGAGCTTCAAAAGCAAGCAGGCTATTCAGGAGTCCACTGATCCGGACAGACCAATCTAAGCACCCATGTTGCTGTTGCTCGTTATTACAAAGGCTAGCACAGAATTCTGAAATCTACTGCATGTAACTAGCATGTGAGGAGATATAAAGCAAATAAGAATCAAAACATAGTGCAAATTTTTTTTTTAAAAAGGAGAATCTGTGGGAAAAGAAATGACCACAACAGCTTCAAACTGCTCAAGGGATCAAAGCGGATAGAGTCTCATGACATTTACAAATCTGCTTAGGCAAATCTCCTGAGGTGTGTGGAAAGAATAGAATTTAGAAACAAAAATTCAGCTTTGTGCATGTATCTCCCTTGGTCTTCACACATTACCACCGTACTTAGCATTCGTATAACACCTTGCATCGTGAATGCATTGGGGGCACATCTGCTAATTCTCACAGGGAATGATTACGATCCCAATTTTGCAGATGGAGAAACTGAGGCAAAGAGCGGCTAGGAGACTTGCACACAGTGAGTCAATGATGGTACTGGGAGCAGGACTCTGGCCTCCTGAACGTTCAGCCCATTAGGGGACACTGTCTCCCCAGTAAGTGTACGTAAGCACACAGGACTGTACGTGCATAAATACTAGGATTTATGTTCCTTCCTGTTCATCTGCTCACACAAGTTATTCCCCACCTCAGGTTACAACCTCTGCCATCTTGTTTGAGTGCTCTGGAAATTGCTATGAAGTTGCTTTGGGTTAGAAATGAGCTATACGAGCTGACGGAATCTGGAGAAACAGAAGCCCAGTGATCATACAGATGGCATCACTAAGAAACGCCAGGGGAAGAAAATCACAGGCAGTAGGTTAAAAAAAGTGATTCCCGAATGGAAGGTTCTCTTGGGTTTTTATGATGGGACAGTGAATTTGTAACAAGACAGTGTTGATCCCAAATGACATCTTGCCGGAGAAACGTAATCTGACAAAGAAAGCCTTGCTCAGGAAGAGGAGGGAATAGACTGTAACTCACACACATTAAAAAGCAGTTGTCACTTGAACACAGTCTGTTCTGGCTTCCTGGGATTACTTCACAAGTACAGCATCCTTTTTCCTTTCTGGATCGTGTTTTTAACACATCCAAAGACATTTTGTTTGGTGCTCCAATCGGATTAAATTTTAATTCCTCTGCCCCAAAGAAATCCTTTGGGAGTAACTTCTGATTGTATTTTTTTTTTACACTGTTGCTGCTGCCTAGTGTTTGGTACCTTTCTGAAATGAAGCATGTAACATACAATGTGCTTGGAAGGGGCATGAGGGCCAATAAAGATACACTCTGAGCATTAAGGCTAAGATATTTAATATCTACATGCTCCCTGAAAGTCATCAGGTATCGTTGGGCCGAGCTAAGCTAACCCAGTTTGTCTGTACAGACTGTAAATCCCAGTGAATACATAGACACTTACATATATATATAGTATATCTATATGCCAGTGTGTACGCACCATTTTCAGAGTCCTGGCCTTTTGCTAAATGCTTGGTTTTGGTTGTATTCCCCAGAAAAGGAGAATTTGGAGGCACAGACCCTTTGGGTCATAGTCTTTCATCCTTTAGCAGTAAGAGGAGACTGGGAACATCTATTCCTACTTTCAACCGAGATTTGCACCCGAAGTGGGTGCTGTTTGCAGTGTGGTCAGCCTCTGCAGCCAGAATTCATAAAAAACTGCAGGAGAGAGCCCTTTTCCCACCACGTGCAGCCTTTACAAATGTTTTATTTAACACGTAGAGAGCTGGTGGGGCGCAGGAGCCAAAAGTGTGCTGCAAAATGTGGGCGGGGAGGTTTCCACTGTACAAAGGCTGAGAATGATTGATGTGCAGAGGGAGAGCTGCTCATGCTTTGGCCCCATCAGATGCATGTACAGCTTCTAACACAGTACAGTGGAGAGGGAGGCTCATCCCTGCAGAATTAGGAGCAGACATTCAGCAGAAGATCTCCTCGCCATCTGGTGGTGCTTCTGATGAATGAGCATCTGGGAAAGGAAAGTCAGCCATGAATCATCACCAGAAGGAACAGGCAAGGAAAGGGTCTATGATAAAACAAACACTGCCTACCACCCACTGCCTCATTCCCAAGCACATGACGGCCTTTCTGGGTGGTTGGCATTTAAAATACACCTTTGAGTTGCTAGACCCACCAGTCCCAGGATTGTGTGACTGGCGTGCAGGAAAATTCCTGTAATCTACTAGCAGCCTCTCATCCCTGAGGTGCTGGGTCATAAGTATGATAGGTTTGAGGCTCACAAGCTAGTCTCCGGCTAATATAAATCCACGTGTGGAAACGACGGTATCACTTTATACTGGCAGGTCAGGACTGATGTGCATAAGCTCAGAGGGGGGAGGAGAGGCAACCGGACTGGCAAGGGGTGCTACAGGTCAGGAATGAGGTGCACTGACAGAAAAGGGAGGAAGGGACTCGAACGGCAGGGGGCATTGCAAGAGAAGATTTCATGGACATAAGCACAAGTTTCAAAAGTTTTCCTAAGACCTAGCCCTGGCTCCAGGCAGTGTTTATCAGCACCTCCCCTGCATAAACATGGATATTGCACAAAAGAAATAGAAAAATATAAGGAGAGCCCAAGCTATGAAGCCACCTGGGTTAGGTTGGGAGAAAGGAGGGAGAAGGGAGCATTGAGCGCCCCCTGGCCATCTGCTGACAAGATGCAACCCATCAGGCTGGGGCGTCAGCGTAACTCCCATGGCTGCAGAAAAGGTGCTCCCATATTGAAGCCCTGGAGAGCAGCAACAATGCCATATAGAAGAGACCGGGGGGGGAGATAAAAAAAAAACAAAAAAACCCAGAGAATGTTGTCATGTCTGTTCTCTGCATGCATGGGACAACGCCTCTCCCTCCCAAACTCACCTTCTGCTGGAAAATCCGCTCACAACCTCCGTTTTTTTCCATCCCTCGCTCAGTTATAACCCACCCCTTTGGGCTCCATGAAATTAAACAGCCACAGACAAGCTGCAAGCTCGCTAACCCCTAAAGATCTCCTCGGGCCCCATCTGACACTCACCAGCAGGTTGGGAGCGGTGTCCTTTGCCCTTTTTCTTCTTGTCCTTCTTGTCCTTTGGCTTGGATAAACCGAAGAGGCGGGTGGGCTGCTGCACCTCGGCTGCCTTGTTAGTCTGGTTCGTTGCGCTAAGCAAGTGGAAAGTGCCTTTCTCTTTGTGTGTCCTTGAGAGACTGTTCCTTTTGGGCGACACAGACAGTCCTGCATCAAAGTGCCCCTGTTTGGGAAGGGAAGAACTGTGCTGCTTGGAGTCCTCAGCGGTGGGCTGGGAGGGGATCCTCACTGTTTTATCATGGGGGTTTGAAACCTGCAAAGAAGAGAACGGAAGTGTTTTACTGGCAGAAGTAGGCGCGGCTCAAAATCATGGGGAGGGTAATATTACCATGACCGCTGCCAGGGACAGTCTGTTGCCCTGCACGCCACCTATAATCACCACCCAAAAGTCATCTCCCAGTCAAATGGACATTTTCTCCTAACAAAAGCCAAACACCCAGAGGCAGCCCTCTCTGTCCAAGGGGTAAGAGACAAAGATTTTAAAGATGAACCCTTCCACTCCTTTCCAGATACAGATGGCGGCACAACCACCTATGGACGAGTCCTCTTTAAAAATCTAAGAAACCCAGCCACCTTCCTCCTCCCAGATGCAGATGGTGGTAGAAGCCATGGGAGCTTCGTAGGGAAGAGAATGTTGTAGGATGTACTGATGCATGACGACAAGTGGAATCTTCCTAAGTATAAAAGACAAGGCAAAATATTGTACTGCTTTTCTAATGTGTCCTCCAGCAACATAACTGAACCCAATGTTTTTAAAGCGGGGAGTGGGGAGTTAAGACATGAATTCCTATCCCTTCATGCTCCATCAAACGTCCCTATTAATAGCTTTGACATGTGGTGGATGATGCGTGCCTCCAAGAAGTTGCTTCCTTTTGATGACCCTGGCGTCTTACTGGTCTTCAGCAGTGTTTTCTCTCAGGTGTTCCTATAGCACCCTTGGCCAGATTATCTGAGCTTCCTGCAAGTAAGTAAGATCTACGTAATAATGCATACAACTTATTTGCAGAACGTGGCATGTTTATCTGCTCTCAAATAGATCACAATTCATAGGGCCTTGTTCATTATTCAAAATTGCATGGAGAAATGTCAGCCCCTGGGCTGCTCAGGAAACTGGAGGTATTCCTCTGATTACCTGCTATTCAGAATTTACTGTTGGAGATAAATGGTTGGTCTATTAAGTCACATGGTGCTGTTTCCACTCCCTGAATGCATGACACCACTTCTGCTTCAGCCCAAAACAAATTACATTTTGTTATAAAATTAATTCTGTGTCTTAATTAAAGATCTGCTCCAGGCCTGAAATCAGAGTTCTGCACATATCTGTATGAACTAGGCAATCTTTCCCTCATCCAGACCCCTTCTGATGATTTAGTTCCCTTCTTTGCAGCAGAAGCAACTACAGCTTCAAAACAGAAAATAAACCTCAGCGCACTAAGAAGTGTACGCGGTCCCTGCAAGGAGCTGTAACTCTGTACAGCTCTATCCCAAGCCCCTCTGCTTTGTTCCCACCCCCGCTTGCTCTGTCGCGTCTCTATGCTAGACCGTGAGTCTTGAGAGCAGGGACACGTCCAGCTAGCTGGTTGGCAACATTGCGTAAATAACTGACCACAAGGGAGGTATAGGGGAACCACCCTTCTGGGTGCTAGTTCACATATATAAATACTAAGGCCTAGCAATGTAGTCGCAAGGCTTATACTGGGGGAGCTGATCAGCAGCAAACTTGTCAGCACCAAGCTGCTTCTGTGAATGCGGAGGGGTGTAGTCAGCCCAACAGTGTGTATCAGACTAATGGACTGACTGCATATGGAACCAATCTGTGCTTGCCTGTACGTTCCTCACAGGTGAACAAAAACGGTGTGAAAAGGCCGAAGTGAAACGCACCAGTGATTTCCCCCTCAGCATCCCTGTATATGCTCTTCCCTGCCATTTGCTATCAGACCAGTGAGGAACGTCTCAAAACAAGCTGGCTAAACACAGATACATTCACAGATGAGCCCCACTAGAAAGACAAAAGACACACTATGATTTCACATACCCAGCAGGACCTGCTGGGAATCTTGATTCCACAACACTCTGAGGAACGTCTTTTGCTAGATGTCTCTCCCTGCAGCCTTCTGAGATATAACAGGCAAAACATAGCCCCAAACATCAGGTGCAAAAAGAGATGCCACTGGTAGAAATCAGGCCCCACATATCAGCGCCACAGCTTCTAGATTTCACACCTAGTCTGACCTCCTGCATCATATGGGCCACAGAACCTCCCCTGGTAATTCCAGTACCGAGCCCATCAATTGTGACTCAACTAGATCTCCTCTTTTAGGAGACATCTTGTCACCCCAGCCACGTGCGCTGGCTGAGAACTCAACTGGGAGCAGAGTGATTACCTGTCTGAGGTCAGGCTCCGTCTGCACTGGGGGTAATCGCTCCACATCTCTCTTGAGCTGCTCCTTCTCCCTCTCCAGTTGTTTCTGTGCTGCTCGCAGCCGCTCCAGATCCAGCTGGTAGGCTTCTTTCTTCAGCTTCAGCTCTTCCCTCTCCCTTTCCAGATCCCGGTACCCCTTCTGTGCCTGCTCCTCTCGCTGGGCGAGCTGCACTTCCCGCTCGGTCAGCTCCTTCTCCCGGACCTCCCACTCCTTCTCTCTCCTCCGCTTCTCCTCCTGGTGCTGGGCCTGCTGCTTCTGCAAGTTGGCCAGCTCCTGGCGCTGCTTCTCCAGGCTACGCTGTTTCTCCTGCTCGATCAAGGAGTTTGGCCGGGAGGAGCTCCGTGTCAGCGCTCTCTCACTGAGAACCAGCTTCTGATCCTCAATATAAGTATCCTGCTGCAACACGACTCCCTGAGGGGAGAGGCAAGGACAAAGTCAGTGTCGTGCCTCCCTTCATGGACTGCACAGACATGCAGTAACTCTAACATCATGCGGCACCTTGCAATTGTAGTATGGGGTGGGGGAGGGTTCATTAATCATTGTTAACCTAGAGGGTCCAGTAGGGCTGGTTTATTTGAGGTACTTATTTGTAAGACACAGGGTAGGCCTGACCTGCAGAGCACTTGTAGCCCCTGCTGGCCTGGGCAGCAAGAGACCAGGAGACTTCAGCAGCAGAGTCCAGGGAAGGGGTGGGGACGGTTTTATGGCCTGCAGCATGCAGGGGGTCAGACCAGATGATCATAATGGTCCCTTCTGACCTTAAAGTCTATGAGTCTATGAGGAGACAGTACTCCCACATGCCAGTACAAAGTCACTAGGACACTGGACTGGACCCTTCAGTGTCAGTCTGGACGGGCAATGCAAAGGGCGGGGGTGAAATGCTGACCTCACCGCAGAGGAGACTGGCTGTTTGGGAAAGAAGCCCGTCAAAGCAGGGTACTAGGTTTACGGCTGACCTACCTGCAGAGTGCTGAGCAGGTTGTGGAGGTAGGTAATGCTTTGGAGAACATGCTGCAAGGAAACAAAAGCACAAGAGTGTTGCTGTTATAACTCACCTTCCTGTCTGACCACAGGCAAAGCCCTTGTCTTTTACATTCCAACGACCAATGAGGAGGGCTCTGTGTTTGTCATGGAGGTAGCGGAAGTCACGGATTCCATTACTTCCTGTGACCTCCAGGACTTCTGCAGTGGCCAGTGTGGCTGACCCCAGGGCCACCCAAGCAACTGGCCCCGTGCTCAGCTACTCAGGCAGCCCTGGGGACAGCCACAGCAGCCGATGCTGGAGC